CAGTTAGAGCAGGAAATAGCACCCGAGGGTGGGGAAAGAGCCATGGCTAGCTATCAAGCTAAAGTAGCTACCGTTAGCAAACCCGAAAAGAGTGTAGGCAACTGTGGAGTTACAGTCGCTAAGAGAAGGAGAGTTGTGAGTGCTTTAAGCTGTAGTAACGTGTGATTACAACGTCAGGCAGTTGCCGCGATCAAGAGTTTTAAAACGATCGGTTAAGATAATAAGCTATCAGCAACAGAACAGGCACACGGGATACCCGGAGATGACAACAACCGGAAGTTACAACATGCTTACCGCAATAGTGGTCCGTGACACATTTTCATAAAAAACACATTACATTACATTACATTCCCGGGAGGAAAGCCATACCTTTTGGCCCACCTGGTAGACAGGTGCTTTGGAACGTCGGCGGTTGGCAGAGGAGGCGTACCGGTTGGCCGAACAAACGAGAGTTCTCCGGGCTTGATTCCAGGTCCGTCGACAACGACGGATGAAAGCCTGGACGGACGGACAGGTAACCTCCCTCTCCAGGGCTGGAAACAGAGGGGGTTGAAACCCGTAAGCACACTGAAATGGGGACAGCTTGGTGGCCGAACTGACCAGAGTGTTGTGGGCGTACTCGACCCAGAGCAGTTGTTTAGCCCAGGCCGCTGGGTTCTTGGAGACTATACAGCGTAAGGTCGTCTCCATCTCCTGGTTCTTTCTTTCTGTCTGACCGTTGGATTGCGGATGGAAACCGGATGACAGACTGACCGTGGCCCCAAGGAGCGTGCAGAATTCCCTCCAGAACACTGAGGTAAATTGAGGACCACGATCGGAAACCACATCAGTAGGCAGCCCATGGAGCCGGAACACATGGAGCAGAACCAGCTCCGCCGTCTTTTTAGCTGAGGGGAGCTTGGGTATCGGCACAAAATGAGCCATCTTACTGAATCGGTCTACCACCGTCAAGATGGCAGTGTGTCCGTTGGATGGTGGCAGACCAGTAACAAAGTCCAGAGAAATGTGAGACCAGGGGCGATGAAGGATAGGCAGAGGTCGTAGGAGACCAGTAGGAGCTTGGTGAGAAGACTTGTTTTGATTGCAAACAGGGCAGGCATTAACAAATTCCCTGGTGTCCTCCTTAAGTGTTGCCCACCAGAACCTTTGCTGGACTACCTCCCATAACGTTGGATCCCAGGATGGCAGGTGAGTCTGGAGTTATGAGCCAACTGGATAACATCAGACCTCAACGTCTGCGGAACGAACAGGCGGTTCGGAGGACAGGCACTGGGTCCCGGCTGGTCCTGCTGGGCGGCCTTGACCCTCTCCTCCACCTCCCAGATGAGGGCGGCGACGAGCTGAGGAGTCAGAAGGATGGTGTCCAAGCCCCTGGGAATGTTACCTCCCTCTCCAAACTGACGAGAAAGAGCGTCAGCCTTAATGTTCCGAGAACCAGGGCGGTAGGAGAGGGAGAAATTGAACCGAGTGAAGAAAAGGGCCCCCTGTCGGGAATTCAGTCTGCGGGCCGACCGGATGTACTCCAAATTCTTGTGGTCGGTCCACACCAGGAAAGGTTGACTGGTCCCCTCGAGCCAGTGACGCAACTCCTCCAGAGCCAAGTTCACTGCTAGCAGCTCCCGGTTTCCCACATCATAATTTATTTCCGCTGGAGTCAAACGCCTTGAAAAGAAAGCACAGGGATGGAGTTTTTGGCTGTTCATTGCTCGCTGAGACAGGATGGCTCCCACCCCCATATCAGAAGCATCCACCTCCAAAACAAACTGTCTTACAGGATCGGGTACTCGGAGGATGGGGGCGGAGGTGAACCTGGCCTTAAGGTTCTGGAACGCCTCCTCAGCCGAGGAGGACCACTGGAACATAACCTTAGAGGAGGTCAGGGCTGTGAGAGGAGCGGCCAAAGTACTGTATCCACGAATGAACCTCCGGTAGAAGTTGGCGAAACTGAGGAACTGTTGTAGCCGCTTCCGGGATTCTGGAACCGGCCAGGAAGTGACTGCATCAACCTTGGAAGGATCCATCTCGATGCTCCCCTGTCCCACGATGTATCCCAGAAAAGAGACAGAGGATGTGTGAAACTCGCACTTCTCCGTTTTAACAAACAGCGAGTTCTCGAGCAATCTCCTGAGAACCGCCTGGACGTGGTGCACGTGTTCTTTCAGCCTCTTGGAAAAGATCAGGATGTCATCCAAGTAAACAAACATGTGTCGGTCCAACATGTCTCGGAGCACGTCATTTACCAACGCCTGGAATACTGCAGGGGCGTTGGTAAGCCCAAAAGGCATGACTAGGTACTCGTAGTGCCCCGAGGTGGTGTTGAAGGCTGTCTTCCACTCATCCCCCTCGCGAATACGTACCACGTGGTACGCGTTACGCAAGTCCAGCTTTGTGAATATGGTTGCTCCCTGCAGCAACTCGAATGCAGAAGAGATAAGAGGCAGTGGGTATCGATTCTTGATCGTAATGTCATTAAGACCCCGAAAGTCGATACAGGGTCTTAGGGTCTTGTCCTTCTTCTCTACAAAGAAGAACCCTGCGCCAGCAGGTGATGAGGACAGGCGAATAATCCCAGCCGCCAGAGAGTCATTGATATAAGTCTCCATGGAAACTCTTTCCTGAGCAGACAGGGAGTACAATCGACCCCTGGGAGGGCTGGTGCCGGGATGCAGGTCGATGGCACAGTCGTAGGGCCGGTGTGGTGGTAAGGAAGTAGCCCTCGACTTGCTGAATACTTCCTTGAAGTCCAGATATTCCGGTGGAACCCCTGTAACATCTGGAACTTGGCTGGGGTTCACCGAACGCTGAGGCGCGGCAGCCTGTTTCAGGCAGATCAGATGACAAGAAGGACTCCAACCCAAAATGGCTCCCGTCTCCCAGTCAATGTTAGGGTTGTGGCGGCGGAGCCATGGATAACCCAGGATCAGCGGAATATGTGGAGACCGGAGAACATGAAACTGAATAGTTTCGTGATGGTTCCCAGACAGGAGCATGTGAACGGGTACAGTCTGATGAGTCACTGTCCCCAGCAGGTGACCGTCTAAGATGTTGGCTGGAACTGGGCGAGACAAAAGAACCCGGTCTATTCCCAACTGCAGCATAAGCTTCTCGTCCATAATATTCGCGTCCGAACCAGAGTCAATAAAAACAGCAAGAGCCTGAGAGCTATCCGGTAATAGCAACCTGGCGTGGCTCAATGGTCTCTGAGTGGGAACAAATCCAGGGGTTTGGCTCACCAGTATGTTCCCCATTACTGCTGAGCCTTGCCTTTTACCGGGCAGTGAGAAACAAAATGGCCGGCCCGGCCGCAGTAGAGACACAGGTTACGACGTCTGCGATGCTCACGTTCCTCCAAAGTGAGGTTGGTGTGACCCACCTGCATGGGCTCATCCCCCCCTGGTTGCGGCTCTGGAGTGAGGTGAGGAGTCGCAGCCAAACTCGGACGTCGGGGCGCCCAGGCATGTTGAACTCCCGCCGATCGTCGCTCCCGTCTCCGTGTCTGGATGCGCCGATCCATGCGGGAAGTCAGTTCAATCAACCCATCCAGTGAATTGGGCAGATCAAACGACACCAGCTCGTCTTTAATGTAATCCGCCAAACCACGCAGATAGGCGTCACACTGGGCTGCAGAATTCCAGTTGCTGAGGCGGCTCCGGGTGTGAAACTCAATGGCATAATCCACCACAGATCCATTACCCTGGCTCAGGTTCAGTAGTCCTCCTGCAGCGTCTGGACCCACAGACATGGGTCCAAACACCTTGCGCAGCTCCGCAGAAAAAGCGGGGAACGAAGAGCAGGCGGGTGTTTGTTGCTCCCATTCCGCTGTGCCCCACAGTCGGGCTTTCCCAGTCAAATGATTGACCGTGAACGCCACACGAGCAGCTTCAGAAGCGAAAGTGTGTGGCTGCAGCGCAAACAGGATAGAACAGTTCGTAAGAAACGGGCTGCAGCCCTCCGGTTCCCCGGCGTAGCGCTCCGGAGTTCCCACCCGAGACTCCGGGGTAAATCCCATCAGAGGTGATGCAGAAGCTGGTGTCGACGGCATAGGAAGAGGCGCTGAAACGGCCACTCCTGCCACTAGCTGCTGCACAGTAGCCGTTAGCTGCTGTAGCTGCGCAGCTAAATAGGTTAGCGTATGGTCATGTGAAGAGTTAGCATGATGAGCCTCGGTGGCCAGGGCGGCTATCGAGGCTTCCTGCCTCTGGAGAGCGTCCTCAACTCTCTCGAAACGGTCTCTAGGTGAAGAGGAGTGCGCTGGGTCCATGTTCTGGCCAGATTGTTCTGTCACAATCTTAAGGAGAACCCAAATGCAGCACTCGAGAAGCCAAGGAGAATTGGTAATAAACTTTATTGGAGATTCCACTGGATCTGAGGAATACCAACCGAGCAGTTTAACGCACCGGAGGACAGCGGGCAGAAGGTGAGTCAGGGACAGGCAGAGAGTCAGGGAGTAAGCGAGGCGGTCAGCGTAGATACAGGCATGGTCGGATAACAGGCCAGACAGGATAGTCGAGGGACAGGCAGGATCAGGGAACAGGCAGAGCAGGCAGAGCAGGCAGGTCGAGGACAGGCAGGGTCGGAACTGGGTAGGCAATCTAGTTTCAAACGCGGGAAAGACAAGCATGAGGCAAAGTACAATCTGGCAAAGAGTGTGTGTAAGGTGCAGGTTTAAATACTGGCAGAAGCTAATGGGTGCAGAAGAGAAAGAGAGTGAGCTAACGAGTGGGTGTGGAAAACACAACCTGATCTCACCAGAATGCGTGACTCCACCACGACTCCTTAAAGGTCCCATGTCATGCTTTTCCGGTTATTGCCCGTCCCCTTGTGTGTTATGAAGGTTTTTATGCATGTAAACAGTCTGCAAAGTCAAAACCCTCAAAGTACACCCTGTAGCGAGTAAACTCTAACACAGAAAATACCTCCCCCAAAAGCCTCGTTGGAGATTTCTCAGTTTCCATTGTTTACTTCCTGCCCCGCGTGACGTAACTTCCTCTGCCAGCCGACCATATTAAGTGTCGTAAAACCTGCTTCTTTTCAAAGCTCTATCCAGTCATGTCGCGGAGGGTCTGTTGCCTGTATTGTGTGGAGAAATCCACAATGTTTGCAGTACCGAAGGCAGAACCACGACGAAGTCAGTGGTTGACATTCCTTTTTAACACTGTTCCAGCTGATTTACCAGCCGGTACTGTTGTGTGTGCGCGGCATTTCACGGACCAAAACTTTAAAAACTTAACAATGTTTAGCTTCAGACTTGCAAAGCTGATATTGGAGGACGATGCTGTTCCTACTTTGTTTAGACCAGCGGGAGATTCAGGTACACAACCTGTAAGTATTCATTGTGGTTTGTGTATTTATTCTGTTTAAAACAAACAATGTATCTACCACGACTGTGTAAATGCTATGCTATGCTAATGCTATGCAACCGAGGTAAACACGAGGGCTACCTAGCATTCCCAGACCTCAACACCGATGTTAGCACATGGCCTTACATGTATCTCATGGCAGGAGAATGTCTGCAAACACACACGAAATACTCATAGACAGTATACTCCGGGTGATTTAACCGTACGGTCAGTAATTACAGTTGCCGTTCGTGTATTCTACCGAGCTACCATTAATAAGCTAAGCTAGAAGCTCTAACCTAGAGATGTTATGAAAAACATTGTTTTCATGCCAGCTACAATGAATGACCGAACGTAGCAGACTATCTGTAGAACATTGTAATTGTAAAAGTGTTGCTTTTATGAAATGTACTGTTTTCCTCGGATACAAAATTAATTGTATGAATACTATGTGTATCTTTCTTAGAGTACATCACAGCAGGAACACAATACCAACTGCTCCAGTACAGTCGGATGTCAAACAGACCGTCCACAGACTGTTTGTGTGGGAACTCAGAGGGTTGAGACACGGTCTGTGGGAACACAGACAGTGGAATGTAAAGTGTCCGCCATTTCTGTTGCTACACAGTTGGCCCGGGGAACACTGAAATCGGCACACGTGAGAAGCAAAGGTAGACTATAACACTGACAAATCACAGATACATTACCTTAATTGTGCTTTTATTACATGTACAGCACTTGGACTCGACCAAAAATCTTTTTTAAATGTGCTCTATAAATAAAACCTTATTTGATATTATTGTATATCACAGAAATACTGTTATGTTGACTACAAGAAATACAGTGCTGTTTGTAGTTTGTACATTTTTCATGAATTAATCTGTCAGATGTACACAAGTTGTTGGCCTTTTACAATGTATTAGTGTCTTATCTAATGTACATAGTATTTATGCACTTTTCCCTTTTTATTAACAGGCATCCAGGCCACGGTGTCTTTCAAAAGTGTTGGCACTAAAACTTCCACCTACACAGAAATCCCCTTGTCCTCTACACCAATAAAGAGCCCAGGTTTGGGACCTAGCAAGAGACCTCGACTAGAGTTGGAGCAGGAACAAGGAGAGACTTCGATTGAATTTGAAGAGACTCTGGATTTGAGTTACCACCCTGATGATACTGTAGAAGAATCTGACGTATCGTAAGTTTGGTATATTTGGTACACATTACTATTACTGTTCAGAGTTGACATCTAACATGTATTGTTAATTTTGTTTTGTTACATTAGACTTCAGACACGATCCACGCACAGTGACGCAAAGTACATTGTGTTTGAAAGCTGCCTCGGACAGCTGTTTGAAAAATGTCCGTTTTGTAAGACAGACTGTGATGTCCAAAAACGAAAAAATGGGACTTTTGTGGCGTTCAAACAGCGTTGTCCAAACTGCACTTACTTCAGACAATGGGAGAGCCAGCCCATCATTGGAAGTACCCCGGTTGGCAACTTACAATTATCTGCTGCTACATACTTCACTGGTGCTTCCTTCTTCCAACTAAAAAAGGTATTTTACCATCTTACATCCATAGCATATGAAAAATGACAGAAGCGGACTTTTTCAAATACTTGTCCTGTTTTTCTATTTAATCATAGATATGCAGAGCCATGCAGCTGGAGATCTTCCAGTATGAGACCTTCAGGAGGCATGCTAGGCATTATCTGGAGCCTGCTATTATCCACAAGTGAAAAACTGATCAGCTGAAGATTTTCCAGCAACTCCACCACCAGGGGGGAAAGGTCACAGTTGCAGCAGATATGAGAGCAGACTCTCCAGGTAAGCAGAAACAGACAAGACAGTCTAGTGCCAGAGTTACTGGTGTATATTACAATTCATCGAACTTATCCATTGAAATTCTGTTGAAAAGTCTTGAAACCTCCTGTATTATATTTTCTTCAGGCCACTCAGCTAAGTTTGGGAGCTACACACTAATGCACCTGGGAAGCAACACCATTGTGGACTTCCAGCTTGTTCAGGTGGGATTCTCTTTCTGGGTGTAATTTTAGGCATGCTGGCTGTTGATGCATGCTTCAGTGTATTTATGCCCTATTTCTTATTCACCAACAGAGCAATGAAGTTAGTTAGTTACCACATGGAAAAGGAGGGACTCAAAAGATGCCTAGATCATCTGGAGTCAAACGATTTGGCGGTTGAGTACATTGTGACTGACCGTCATCCACAGATCCAGAAGTTTCTGAGGGAACGCAACATAGAACAATTCTATGATGTCTGGCACTTTGAAAAAGGTATTTATCCCTATATGTTGTAATGAAAGAATACCAAATCAGAGACACTGTCCTTTTTAGCAGCAGACATGACATGTCTGGATAGATACATGAATGATATCCCCCTATATGTCCCTCTAATCTGGTCTTTCCTCTGTTATTGTAAACTGTCTGGCAGACCACTTGATCACAGCACCTTTTGTCATTGTAAATTACATTTCACTCACAGGATGGGAATTTACAGTGATGCATATATGAATATGTATGGCTGTTTCCTGGCTATAAAATGTTTTCAGACATAAGGGTGACGCCCTGACCATTGTCATGCAATTATCATATGGATGTTATGGTTGTAATTAACATGCTGTGCTTACCCTTCTGTCTGCCCACCACCCTCTTTCCACCACACCCTTGAATATTGTCCATCACAGCACATCATTTACACACTATTGCTTGAATATTCACATGTGTGTTCTTTTTATCAGGTTTGTCCAAGAAACTTTCACAGAACAAGGACTGCAAGTTGTTGAAGAGGTGGCTGCAGAGCATAAAAAACCATGTGTACTGGAGTGCGACGAGCACAACCTCGGGGCCGGAGAAGGTGGCAAGGTGGACGTCAGTGGTCAACCACCTACAAAACATCCACGTGCATGACGACCCCCTATTCCCCAAGTGTGAACATCCTGAAAGAGCCACAACGGATGAAAATAAATGGCTAAAACACATGATCAATTTGTACATTTATCAAAATAAAGTTTGATGGAACTACTTGATAGCCTTTCTTCCCTGAATTATTTGCTCCTAGATCATTCATATATAGCAAACCATTATTTGATTTTTCATCTAATACAGTAGTAGTTTATTATAGCTAAAAATAACTTACTCTTCTTCAGTTCTACGCCTCAAAGGTCCATAATCAAACCGATAAATATTGTGGAGGTTCTGCAGGGTGTAGGGATTGAGGCAGTTTGGTTCTAGTCTGGGGTGGTCAACCATGCACACAATGGGTTCTGGGACTTGGTGCATTTCGTGTTAAAACCTATAGGAGGATAAGATATTTGTAACATAATACGTTTAGCAATTAAATCCAACTATGGCGAGGTTTACAAAATAAACATTCAATTACTATAGAATAAATAAAAGGGCATATAGTCTATTGACTTGACAAGTATGTATGGTGTATATAATGTTGTGTGCTACTGTTGGTGTTTTTGTATTTGTTGTGGTGACACCCTGTTTTGACCATAATTCACCTTTGGTATAGTGTTGCCACACGGACCCTTTAGTGTGTGCTCTTAGGTTTAGCTTGTCATTCCTAGCTTGTCAGACAGAGCAGACATGTATTTTACCTGATTCTAAACACACCGCCCCCGACTCCCTTTCATCGGCACTACACTGTCACCTTTCTAATCTCCCTGCAACAGAGGTTTTCCACCTCGGTAGGCATTACTGCGCAGTTTCCACACGTGCACCTAAATAACAACAGTTGGAAAGTTTGGTTAGTCAGCGGACACACTTGTTACTGTGATGTAGATAAATGATGAAGTTCTAACATTACATCTGAAATGTAGCAGCTATACACAATTAAAACGTTCCACTGTGAAACCACCTGCTGTATTCTTGTTTGGGACGGTGGATCAGGTCCATCACGGTCCGTTTCACGCTCAGGGTCGGACTCCGTTTCGTACATATATGGCTTTACTGACGCTATTTCATTTCTGCTACTCCGCTCAGAGCCGAAAAAACACCATGGGCTAAGTACCCGCTAAACCACTTTACGGCAGATGTCAACAGGGGCAGAGCCTCTCTGGTGGTTGACAAATCAGAACAGAGGGGCCGAGCTGACCAATCGGAGCACACTGGGCTCACAGGGAGGGGGGGCAAGAGCTGCAACGAGCCGTTTCGTGGAGAGAGTGAATTCACGTAGTTTACAGTAGTGATGTGTCGGTCGCGAACGAGCCGGCTCTTTTAAGTGAACGACGGGAGCCGGCTCTTGCCCGCGAACGAGCCGGTTTTTTTTTTTTTTTTGCGGAGGGATCTAGATCGGCTTGAAGGCACATTATGCAATGTGCACTGTGAACATTATCCCGCTTATTACATGGCCACATTCTCAACAAAGTAACGACATGACTCCCAATATTAATTTAAATGCTTTTATGGATTTAGAAAATGATTTTATTGATTTAAAAAATAGTTTTATGTATTGATTTAAATTGACATGCATCCGCTAAGAAAAGTAGTCCGTTGTTACTGTTTGAACTAACGTAGCAACGGCAGGAACTGCTTCGATAGTGTTTTTGAGGAGCTTTTTGATTACAGATTTGAAAACATCGTTGCTTGCTTTAAAAGTAGCACAATTCATGATGTCAAACCTTGGAAAGTATCTAGATATCCCTGCCCTAATGCCAAAGTAACTGGCAACTGAATATGTGTCGCCGTTTGATGTCTATGTCTGAGCCGCTGCGTAAAAAGGAGGGTTTCTGCCCCATTACTTCTCTTCTTACTTCGATAAGAATAAAACACGGAGGACGTCGGAGATCTCTTTTTCTCCCCCTCTTCTGACAGCCCAGCAGCTGATCTCAAAGCACGCTCCCCTCTCCTACAGGGGGGCGTGGTCGGCTGCAGCTCACAGAATCAGCCCCTGCAAAAACAGCGCTGGAAAGAGCAAATAGAGCGAAATGAGGCATGGCTAAAATGCAGGATCTTTTATATAGGTTGATACAGTAGCCCCTTTTTTTAAATAGTTTTTATAGGTGTTGCTATCTGTTTTGTGTAGCGTGGTTCTACAAGCAAGTCAATGCATTCATTGGGTGGTATCGGAGAGTTACACGGGTCTGTAAATGCAATTGGCCACAGCAAATCATTTATATTAAACATGTAATTTTTACTTTTGAATACTTCAGTACAAAGGTTGTATTGAATAATTTAAGTGATATATGTGTACACATATAATTAGTCAAAACAGGGCTACATTTGATTTAATTAAAAGGTATAATATGTGGTAAACTGAAGAGCCGTTTGGGAGCCGAAAGAGCCGGCTTTTCTTGGTGAGCCGAGAAGAGCCGGAATTCCCATCACTAGTTTACAGAGATGCTGTATGCGAAACAATGTGAGTTTGGAAAATTGCACAGTATAAATCTATTCTAGTAGACATCAACAATGGAATTATGATCAGTGGAAATGGCCATGACATGTGACTTAACATCACAATGCGTGGTGGAGTCACGAACTTTGTTACATTTACGTGTCGGCACCACGCAAACAACCCCTATGTAAAGTGAATGAGGTTCCTTTGTCGTGGTGCACACACGCATTTCTACAATGTCCCGCAGTGAGCTTTTGTGAAATTAAAACAGAACGGTAAAAGAATAGTTTCCGGTCTATTCTGAGCCCGATCTCTGTAGATAAATAAAGAACTACGACAGATGTGTAATATTTAATGCAGCCAAACCATTTATTACAATGCATTCATGTGATGACTTTCAAAGACTAAAGCAAGCACTGCTGAATAAAGTATGATTTTATCTTTTACGAAACGTTTTTTTTCATATGGAATGCAGTTGGAGGTCAACCAATCACAGAGCTTGAGGACTGATCACGGGGTTTGTCAAGCTAAACACATGGTGTAGTCCCAAACGATAGCTGAAGATTCTGGGTAGTGTAGAGGAAACTTCTGTGTAGCTATGCAGTGGGAGTCACCGACTCACGAAGGAGACACGGGAAGAGCAGTAGCTTTGATGTCAAACACATGATGGTTTATTTGGAGTTAACGGCCGGAGGATTCACATCACAAGTCCAAGAGTCAGAGGTTCTGACTTCACGGTAGAGTTGCCACGTCAATTCTGGAGAGCCTCTCTCTTGCCAGCCCATCTAACTGGTTTCGCAGAGAGTAAACAACATATTTGAGGAGATAGCCTAAACAGTGTGGGAACACAGAGCTACTTGCCTCGGACACTTATGACCTCGAAGATTTTACCTTGGAGTCCACAAATACAGAGAAGGAAGTGTCCCAGTGTACCCACAACACAGACCATCTGTATCCCAGTATTGACCGGTCACAGAATGGGAACAATAACATTATTGGCTAAGCCGCCTGTGTCCTTAAAGAAGGTAAACAGACATCGAGGTTTGTCCTGTATGTTACTAATTGGCGTCTTATGATAATTATTTCCACAACAGTCCTCTCTTTTTATCATTTATGATAACCTAAAAACATTAGTCTAATAATAATTTGGTCAATAATTAACTCAATAGGCGTCTCCAGGTTCGAGTGTGGTCTCACCTTACATCAATTATATCACAAAGTGGAATAAGATTGAAACATTCAATCACAATGATTGATACAGCCAATCATAATAGGAAAAATCATCTCTCATCAGTGTTTGATCATCTTTTGTCAAAAGCATAATAATGAACACACATAAAACACAGGTGCACAATGGCTAAATATTTGTTTTTAAACTAATATATTTGATCATTTACCATTAGTTAATTTCATTCATCAAACTATAAAATTAAAACCAGCTTGCCGCTTTAAAGATTTACTTCAAGGCAATCACTAGTCAAAAGCATTTTAAAACTCAGGATCGTAAGAGATCCAGCTAAAAATGTACAGTTTTAGTATAGAATTCACAATGGTGATTTGATCAATCTGTAATCTGCAAAAGTGCAGTGTCCTCAATTTTAGGATTACTTTTACGTTTACTTAAATACGCTTTAGTCAAGAGTAAGGCACTTAGTGAAATCAATACATTCATTTTAGTCAAGTACATTGTTCAAAATCTGAAAAGGAAAAGTTAGGCAAATATTCAAAGACTTTTGTAAAAACCTGGAAAGGAAGGATTAAACATTTTTAAACCATGAATTATTACATTTGTAAATGCTACCACTGATCTGTACCAAATTAAGTCTATCAAGTATTCCTATTAGCCATACTTACCTGAGCTACTTATGGTACTTGGAAAGGATTCTTCTGTGTTTATCTAATGTTGAGAATATCAATTTCTTTAAATT